GTGAGTCCCGAACTGTGACACTGGAGAAAACTCTCTTATTTTTCATCAAAGTCAGAAGGTACATATTTTAGAAGACTGATCAAAACCTGTGTGTAGACAGGTTTCATCAAAGTCAAAAGATACATATTTTTGATGATTGCTCAAACTGTAAGTGAATGTGAATGTATGCAACTCACGTGTATGCGTGTGCATGACACAGAACAACAGTGGCATTTTTGTGACTCTCCCAGCAAGTACTTGTCTGAATAAGTCTGAGACGCGACTATTTTGTTTTTATATCCTGGGAAATTTAGAAGACACTTCCAAGGAAGCTGTTAAAAAGGCAGCTACAAAAATAACTCAGTATGATAACAATTCATATGGCAATGAGTTCATTTTAGAATGTGGAACATGACTTCATGATGATGTAATTGCAGCCAAGGAGGCCTTTGCTTGAAGAATGTGAGGCCTGAGGTCACAGGTGCCTTCCTTATGCATAGTCATTATATTCACAGAGAAAAAAAAAAAAGTCTCTGCAGGTGCTATGTGCTTCAGGTTTTGAGAGTCATCAGCCACAGCTTTGTTAGGCTAACGAGGGACAAAACCTGAGGCTTAGAGGCTTTAGAAGCTTTAGAGGCTACTAGAATTACAAATGATATACAGAGAAAAAATTCCTGGAAACACAAAGGAGGGTTATATATAAGGTGACATTTAGGTACAGACATGTATTGTAAAATATCTAATTGAAATAAAGAATGTTCAGGATGATTTCCTCCATAATTGCCCATTCTTACGGTCTCATATTGAAACTAATTAAAAATTCACATTCGTAATCAATTATAGCAAGCAAAGAAATCTCCTTTGCAGAGTTGTATTTTTAAAGTGAGTGTGCTGGGACACACCCATAATCCTAGTACTCGGGAGACTGAGGCAGGAGATTGCCGTGAGTTTGAGGCTAGGCTGGACTACACAGTGAGGTCAAGGCTAGCCTAAACTGCATTTTAAACATCATTTTAAAAAAAGTGTTTGTGGGCTGGGGATTTAGTTCAGTGGCATAAGCGCCTGCCTGGCAAATGCAAGGTCATGAGTTCAATCCCTGGTACCACAAAAAAAAAAAAAAAAAAAAAAAAAAAAAAGTATTTGTGCTGAAAAATAAATTCAATTAATACAGATAGTCATGGACAATAATGAACAATGAGATTTTTGTGACTTCGCTATTTCAGCTTGGCTTGACCTCAGATGCTCTGAACTCCTTTTTTTTTTTTTTTTTTTTTATTTAAGAGGAAAAAGAGAAAAACACAAAACAAACCAAAGCGGCGTAAGGGTACACGCAATACAGAACTACAAAACAAAACAAAACAAAACAAAACAAAAAACCATAACAGTAAGAAATTACCTGCTAGTAGATTACACACTATTTTCTTGAAAATAGTTCCTCAAATCACAGTATCAAAGAACACAAGGTGGACATTCAAACAGGGAGACTGCAAACAGCTGTGTTCAATGTTCCAAAAACATTGATAAAGTCAGCTATTTAACACCCCCAAACACACTTGCTGTTATATCCGTTAGAGCTCCTTTTCTTTTTTTATTTTCCCTCTCTTTTTTACAACAAAATTTACACATCTTGGATTTTATTACTCCTTAGTGCTTATTACTTTCTTTGGGGGGGGGGGGAAGAATACAGTCAAATATGGCAAAACAAAGCTGTCAGTCAATACCAAGGATAGACGTAGCACATGGTGTAGAACAGAGTACAAGTTTATCAACAATGGTTATCAACGTTGTCCCTTGTTTCCTTAAAAAGAATTGTCTATCTTATTAGATATTATAAAGTTGGACAAAACAGTAGAGAACAAGACCAATAAAACTTAGGCGTTGTAAACATTACAGGACTTCCAAAGAAGACAATAGTCAAACCAGAATGGGTATCTTAGTGAATCTTATTGTCTTCAAAGTAGTTGCCTATGTCTTCAAACTTGATACTATCATATAGAATGGAACAGAGTCTAATCAGTCAAAACAAGATCGTGGGAGTACTACAGGACTTCAAAACAAGTTAATAGGAAATCGAAAAGAGTTACTATTTATATATCCTAATTTTTTTGAATTTTTTCTTTAATTAAGACAAACATAAGAAATGACTAAATAATTTTTTTTTGAAACAATAAGGGGGAGATTGAGATAAAACAGGACATAACAATATAACAATAGAGGTCACAGCATGACTGTTTCAATAACCTAGTACTTCACCACCTTATAACCTGACTTAATAGTAGTTACCATAGTGTCTTTTTCCTTGAAATATTTGGGTAAAACTTCATATACTCTAGCTTCAAATATTTTCATATCAAGAAGCCCAGAATAAAGCCTTTCTAATTAATGAGTGAAAACTTTATAAGGCTTCAAGGCCACCTAATGGGGAATCATGATTACCACATATTTTTATATATTTGAATCATTACTTACGTTAGGGAAACTATTCGGTATTCACACATGCGAGATTGATTTATTTCACTTATGAGTATGGTCTCAAGCTGTGCCCATTTATTGATAAATATCTCAATGTGATCCTTCTTTATAGCTGAATAATACTCCATTGTATAGAAATACCACAACTTTTTTATCCATTCCTCAGTTGATGGGCACTTGGGTTGTTTCCAAGATCTGGCGATTACAAATTGTGCTGCTATAAACATAGGTGCACATATATCACTGTGGTATGATGCTTTCAGTTCTTCTGGGAATATGCCTAGAAGTGGAATAGCTGGAATAAATGGGATTTCCAGTCCCAACTTTTTGAGAAATCTCCAGACAGATCTCCACAAAGGCTGTACCAGTCTACACTCCCACCAGCAGTGCAGGAGAGTTCCTTTTTCCCCACAGCCTCTCCAGCATTTGTTGTCGGTTTTCTTGATCCTGGCCATTCTTTCAGGAGTGAGATGGTATCTCAGTGTGGTTTTAATTTGCATTTCTCTAATGACCAATGATGATGAGCATTTTTTCATGTATTTATTTGCCATTTGATGCTCTGAACTCCTAATACTTAAGGATCTTTTGATCCAGAAGAACAAAAATAAGCATACAGTACTTGGCAGAGTGAAGCATTAGAAAGCTAGGTAGGAAAATAGACAAGAGTACGACTAATAGAAATATGTTTCATAAAATTAATACAATCGGTAAAGTACAAAATAGTAGCGTTAGTTTCAAACTATTGAAACATTTAAAGTTCACAAAAAATAAAGTCATGATTTTGTAAGTGTTTTTTTCAGAGCAGAAGAATTTATTGGAGGAAAATAAAGGGGAATAGGAATGAGGAGGGGACTGTAAATACTGCCTAAGAGACAGTAGGAGTCCCAAAAGGGGCTGCTATGGACTTTATTTTCAATGAACAAAAAATAAACAAAAAATTATGTTCATAAAAATAACATATCAAATTTGACCCTGGATATTAATATCTTGTAAAAATATAATTCCAAAAGAAAGCAAAATGAAGTCAGTAGAATAATTGTTAAATGTGATACAAAAATTGATATGGAAAGCATTTTTGTCCAAATTTATACATAAACAATTGAGCCCAGAGAAAATAAACACTGAAATTAAGAGATGTTATAGAACTCAACGGAATATCAGCCCAAAGAAAATTGAATGTTACAGTACGTAGTTATATTTGGTTTAAAATTTGAAGGTAATGGAATAATAATTCCAGCACCTAAGGTTGGAATCCAAATAGAAGAGTACTGGTATAAGAAACCACACAAGCTGCATGAACAGACAGTGTACAGCCTAGGAGATTGACCAAGACTGTCAGTAATCTGATTTTATACAATGGAATACTATTCAGCTATGAAAAAGGATAAACTTGAGGCTTTTATAAGTAAATGGATGCAGCTTTGAGACTGTACTCATAAGTGAAGTAAGTCAGGCTCACATGTGAAAAATAACATAATGTTCCCTAGTGTAAAAAACTGAAAGAATAAATAAATTCACAATGTACAATAGATATTACAAAAGTGAAATTGGAGGAAACTGCTCAAAAGGAAAGAAAAACTGAGATGTAAGAAAGAACAGAAAAAGAAAGTAAAAGATTATATATACATGTATACAATATACGTATGTACAAGATCCCTATGCTGCAAATTTCTGTTAGTCCATCAAAAACGATGGTTAGTTCTTTCCATTCTAAATTTTTCAAATCTGACTTTAAAATTGTACTTTTAAATGCAACTTTCTATCTTTGAGTAACTTATTGCAAGAGTTTCTCTGCTCCTCCTCGTATCTCCATTTCCATCAGCTTTACTAGGATTGTAACATGTTCTCCTTTCCTTTCTCCTTTCACTGTACTCCAGTTCTCAGGAGCACTGTCTTCCATCTTTAGCTAATAAAAATAAGTTCTGAATCAGAGCAGTAGACTTTTGTGTTTTTTCCCCTAAGCTGTTCCATTTTTGGAATCCCCTAGTGAGAGCCTGAGAAAAAATATTGTTTCGTGATCATGAGGTTTTTCATGCTCAGAAGTACTTCTGGTGTTTGCAGGTGAATCTGTTTCAGCTTGCATTGCCTGTTTCAAAAATTAACTAGGCCTCATCTTTGTCAACAAACGTACAGAGAGAGCTGACAGAACAGCTGGGGCTTGGTGTCCTGGCCAGAAACTAAAGGCCATGCTGCTGGCAGCTGGTTGGGAGCATGATTTTTCTTGGCTGATATCATGGAAGCTGGAAAGACTTTCTTACTTGTCTAATCTGAGCATCATGATGATTGGGAAAGCAGTGGAAGAGAGGATTTCTCACTAGCTCATCACTGGTTTTTATTTTTTGCATTTCCTTTTAGTCTTTTGTCTTCTCTTGTCCTCTCTCTCTCTCTCTCTCTCTCTCTCTCTCTCTCTCTCTCTGTGAGTGGTAGTGGAGATTCAATTTAAGGAACACTGAGCCAGCCCTCCTTGAGGTTTACTTTATTTGGAGACTGACTTACTGAGTTGCCCAAGCTGGTCTCGAACCTGAGATCCTCCTCGCTAGGAATATAAG